CTAGCGCGCTGAGCCGACAAACAGCTGATCAGCTGTTTGTCGGCTCAGCGCGGCAGCCATGTAAATTTAAATGAAGCCGCGATCATTTAAATCGCGGCTTCATTTGCCTTTGCCTATCTGTCTAATCTACATGGCTCCATCGACGGAGCCATATAGTTTAGACACACCCTATATGATATCTATAAAGTGCTACCAGACCATTTGTTGTTTATTTCAAATTATTGCAAGATTTTGAGCTGAATCAGTTGTTGCATCAGCCCATGACAAAATTCACCTCAGCATAGTGATGCTGACAGCACTCACACAGTATCTGGCTACTCACTATTTCTGAAACCCAGAAAACTTCCTTACTCGTCTCATACGGCTGCTATGCATAAGCGGGAAGTGAACAACAACTTCATTTCCGTGTTTTTTCCATCCAGTTCACCCAGCAGAGCCAACAGAAAGTCAATGGCAGTTAAAATCTCTTTAGAGGAACGCTTACCATTTTCCAGTTTTATGAGTGTGCAGCTGTAAAAAGTGATTATGAAGAAAAAAAAAGACCTCAATTCAGGGAGGTGCCCCTATTCAATAGAGCACTTAAGGACACTTTTACAGGTATCTATTAATGACCTCTGAAGTCAATGAGACTGAAGTGCTTCTGTTTATGCATAAGGCAGAATTCTCCAGCACAGTGATGGATTTAGCTCTCTTAAATTATTAGTTGCTTCTGTTTAAATCCCAAATCCCTATTTATTAGTAACCAAAAGCAATCACTAGTAATTTAAAAAACTGCAGCACATAGTTGCAGAGAAAAATAAACACAAACCACCGATAAACTTGCTATTTGTAGATGTCTACCTTTTTATTTAAACATCAGAGTATGCTTTTTTTTATCCCCCCAAGGAGATATCATATCACTTTCTTTATAGGAGAGAGAGGACTTGTTAAAGTTTACTAATCACTCTTCTTAACAGTAATAGATATCCCAGACCTCCTAACAGACTGTAAGTCAATCTTCAGGTTCAGTGCGAGTCAATTCCCTGAAAGAAAAATGACTTAAACAGTTTGCAACCAGCAACTTGGATTGCGCCCTTGATACTCTAATTAACAATCTGCTATTGGTTAGCATATATCCATATAAAAAGTATTATTATATATTTTCAAAGTGAGGACGGGTTTTTCCTTTCATTGCAGAAGACAAGTTAGAAAACAGAATGATGGCCTCAAACAGGAGGAAAGAGGATTAGAGTCTATCTGATCCAGAAAGAGGAAATTAACCTTTCAGCATATGGGGAAATAATGATCTAATCCATATTATAACACGGGATTAGGGATTGTTTAACAAGAAAAGTTCATGCAAATGTCACGCTGCTCCAGTCTCAGAATATGAATGTGTTAAGAGGCGTGTTTCAAGAAGAGTATTTGCATCAGTCATCCAGAAATTTGTTTACTCTAGCCTGAAATCTATGCCAAGTTATTACAAACATTTTTAGGATTTGTGTTATGCCATGCCAGCAAGGCTGCTTATGTTATGGGCATGTTTTCTGTTCTTTGATCTGTGCTACAGAAATTAAGGCAGTGGCAACACAGATGCCTTAGGAACAGAGAGATACACTGAGAGTTTCCAACTATTCTTAGCTTTCTGAAGGTGATATACCGTAAAATCTCAACTATAATGCGCACCTATGTATAATACGCACCTAGCTTTTAAACATGAGAATTCTGGCATAAACTGAGCTCCTATCTATAATGCACACCCCGACTTTGCCGTACTTTGTCTTGCTGTATTTTGGTTTGTCTTGTCTTGTCTTTTTTTGTATTGCCAGGTAATCACGCATGAGTAAACAGTGTGCAGCATTTCCATGCGCCAACAACTCATGGCATCCCAAAGAGAGATCTTACACATCTGCTGAAAAACTTAAAGTTGTTAGCTTTGCAGCGGCTTATGGCAACAGAGCTGCCAGCCGTGAATTTGATGGCATAGCAAAGTCTAACATTCGGCTTTGGAGACGGCAGAAAAAGCACTTGCAAGCGCTGCCTCGGATGAAGATGGCTGAGCGAGGTAAAAGTGCTGCATATCCTGAATTGGAGGCCATGCTGGTTGAATGGATTGCTGAGCATAGACAGCAAGGCGGTAGTGTTAGCATTGTGGAGGTTAGAATGAAGGCTTTGACCATTGCCAAAATGTGCGCTAACACAGCCGGGTTTAAAGCTTCACATGGCTGGGGCAATCGGTTCATGAATCGCCATAGCCTATCGGTCCAACACCGAACAACTATCACACAGAAACTACCCATGGACTCAGACACCAAGCTACTACAGTTCCAAAAGTTCATCATAAAACTACGCAAGCAGCACTGCTATGACCTTTCATTGATTGGTAATGCAGATCAGACACTATTAAATTTCGATAATCCCTACAACAGAACGCTTGAAGTGAAAGGTTCCAAGACCGTCTCCATTGCTACCACAGGCCATGAAACGTCTAGGTTTACTGTAATGCTTGCTTGCACGGCTGATGGAACAAAGCTGCCTCCTTATATTGTGTTCAAGCGCAAGACAATGCCAAAGAACGTTATATTCCCGAACACCGTTCATGTGCATATTCACCCTAAAGGCTGGATTGACGAAGCTTTAATGCTTAATTGGCTACAGACGGTTTGGGCGAAGCGGCTGGGTGGACTTATGAGAAAGTGATCTCTAATAGTTTTGGATGCATTTCGGTGTCATCATATGCCATCCATCCAGAAAAGGCTCCAGCAGGACAAAACAGACTTGGCAATTATTCCTGGTGGAATGACCAAAACATTGCAGCCTCTTGACGTGACAGTTAACAAGCCAATGAAAGATGCATTCTGCAGGAAATGGAACACATGGTTGTTGGAAGGTGAACATACCTTTACTGCAGGTGGACGTATGCGAACACCGACGCTGCAAGATGTTACCCAGTGGATAGCGGATGTCTGGGCTGAACTTGATCCCGCTATCATAAGGAAGGGGTTTCTGAAATGCAGAATCTCTAATGCTATGGATGGCAGCGAGGATGATGCCCTGTTGATGGATCCGAGCGATGATGAATCATCTGAGGGCGAATTACCGGTATGCGAAGATGACAATGATTTGTATTACCTGGATGAAGATGTCGAGGGCTATACCCTGGAAGACATTGCTCGTCTGTTCGAGGAAGATTCTAACAAACGCGAATTCGAGGGCTTCGAAGATGAGTAGAAGATCAATTAACATATACGGTATTTGCTTGTTTGCGCTGCAGTGCTGATTTCATTTGTTTAACTTACCTTTTTGAAATGGTGTATATAGTAGCTTGTCGATGCTAATAAAAATCAACTTAACCCCTGGTGTCCAGTGATTAATTAAGTGCCACAGAACCGCCAAATGAAAACTTTGAAAAAAACTCCTATGGATAATGCGCACAGACGTTAAAAAAACAGGGAAAAAAAGTGCGCACTATATTCGCAACTTTACGGTAAATGAAAACTGAGGCTCTTTTTAGCCTGTCATTCATTTACATGAATTCTAGAATGGAATTCTGTTTAAAGTATGAAATAAAATAAATTGGCATATGGTTAAAATTAGTGGGTCAAGGCTCACAGGAACTAGATTAAGCAAAATGCAGGACAATGTAGCACTTTAAAGACTAACAAGATGGTTTATTAGATGATGAGCTTTCGTGGGCCAGACCCACTTCCTCAGATCAAATGATTTGGGTCTGGCCCACGAAAGCTCATTCTGTTTAAAGTATGAAATAAAATAAATTGGCATATGGTTAAAATTAGTGGGTCAAGGCTCACAGGAACTAGATTAAGCAAAATGCAGGACAATGTAGCACTTTAAAGACTAACAAGATGGTTTATTAGATGATGAGCTTTCGTGGGCCAGACCCACTTCCTCAGATCAAATGATTTGGGTCTGGCCCACGAAAGCTCATCATCTAATAAACCATCTTGTTAGTCT